ATCTATCTATCTATCCATCTATCCATCTATCTATCTAGCCGTATCTTTACTTTGATATCTATATATATATATACATCTATATCTATTTCTATATCTATATTCATACAACGCCTGGATTGTAAATCCCACTGAAACCAAACGGGTCTTCAAGTCTTTCATAGGCAGCGGCCTCTTAGTCTCACTCCACTCTCCACCCTCCACATTTGTGCTGCACTTAAATCCGGCAGAAATATCTAATTTGAACAGAGTGGCAAGGTTAGGTCACGTCTTTTGTCAACAGCCTGCCTCCAGTGGCTGATCCGTAGTGTCAACAACTACAAGAGCCATGAAAGTTTTGCGTTTCTCTTTCCATTTCTGGCCTACAGCACTCTGAATGTAAATGATAGCTGGGACTCTGTGGCGCATCTTCAAAAAGATCAGGTTTTGGAAATTCAGGGGAGAGATGGAGAAAAAAGTCCGTGTCGAACACCTCTGACATCACCGCTTCAGGCGGAAACTTCGTCAGCTCACACATCTATCCCCCGTCATTTGAACTGAATCGTCGAAAAGGAAAGAAAAAAAAAAAAACTGTGGCGTGTGTTTTGAACACACGAGAACTGCTTCCCTGCGCGGAGCTGCTTAAGAAGCAAAGTGTTGACATGATGAATGGACAAAAGGAATCGTGTTCTGGTGGCTCGGAGTGGACGATAATCAAGATGAATGTTTGTTTTTGATTGTTCACTTCTGTCAGATAGATATTGCAGCGTGCTCCTCGGTGGTGGAGAGACCTGCAGACGCAGGGAGAGAGACAGACAATCAGTGGATCATTTATTATTTCCAGTGCTTAATGAAAAGGTTGTGCCGTGAGTGAGTTAAGTGTTTGCCAAAAGGAGGTCTTTGGAGGCTCTGTCTCCCTTCAGCTCGATGTCATGATCAGTTTAATACTCAGGGTACTTGTCCTCCACTATTGATCCACTACTTAATGGCTTTCTGTGCACAAACATCACTCAAACTGCACTTCATTGCTGCTGTTTGTCTACTCTTCGATTCCTACTTACTGCATTTATCCATTACGGTGCTGGAGGATAACAGTCTGTCTGTCTGTCTGTCTCTCTGTCTGTCTGTCTTAGCTTCAGCTAAAACTGTTGATGTGCTGCGTCATCATTTTGGGTTTTTTTTTTTGCTGCGTGTATTCTTTTCACATCTAGTGTTGTAGTTAGCGCTAGTACAGAAGGTACTAGTCGCGCGAAGAGCCGCACCAAATCCTGTGCTCATCGACGGGTTTTATGATCAAGCGATCAAGTACGTACACGACTTACTCACATCTTTGTTTGGTTCCTAGCAGCAACACATTTTGATTACATACAATTACATATCGTAAAACCATCTCATCGGAGAGAGGGAACATGACTTTCTCGATAAATATTTCATGCGACAAAATTTGATTTCAAAATCTTTCACATCGAAGAGATGGAACATGACTTTCTCGATAAATATTTCAATATATTTAGACATATATTTACTCATATAAACTGCACTACATTATATCTTGGAGTACTTTGATTCAATTACTGTAGTTGTATTGCGCAGTACTCTCTGACTCAATACTTGAAATATGATTCTTACTTTAGCCCTAGCGATTAGCATCTACAAATTTCATAATTTCATATACCAGAACTTCCAATGAGATCTATCGGTAGATCACGATCTACTTATTGGCCATCCTAGCTGTCGGTTGATGACCTCAAAAATTGAGCTAAACTGAGCTATTAGCGCCATCTCACTCATTTGTAACTGAAGGTTACATTTGCATTTTTTTAGGACTGGCTGAGACACCAGTCTAACAAACAGACAAAACACAGAAATAGGTAAATGTTGAAACACTTTAAACAATAAAAAAAAATACACAGAGATATTCCAAAGTATTTATCCAATCACTGATTCAGTATTTGTGTCATTTCGTTCCCTCACACCAGTGCGCCCGCCTGTATTTACATTCCCACATGACGGTCCCATGTGGGTACGGAGATAATAAAGTCCCGTTGTGTGGCTGACCTAATCTCTGTTAGCAGCTGCTGGGCAATTTAATGTTCATGTGAGAATACCACCACCAACCGTTTGTCGGGAAGGAAAGTTTACGATTTTAGCCATGTTTGAAAATCAGATGTTCATAAGTGAAAATCGGAACCTCAGTTTTTGAACTTAATTCGTCCCTAAATGCTGTTCGTGAACCGAAAAGTTCGAAAACTGAAACAATTTCCCCCATAGGAATCAATGTAAAATGGATTAATCCATGTTCGGCAACCGAGTTTTGGTAAAGCAACCGGGGCAATTTTTGGTTAAAATTTGAACCGAATTGTTTGAAAAGGGAGGAGTTCGACAACCGAGGTTTTACTGTATAATGTAAAATCGTCTTACGTCAAAGGCGTCAAGGCCATCGGTGAACTTGCATCGTTCACAACACGCAACGTGCCGCAGAAAAAAAAATTAAAAAAAAAAAAAATTAAAGAAATAAACATATTGTTGCATATTTTCATTCATATTGCATTTTGGCAATTTCTGTTTTTTTTCTACTTTTTAAATTTTTTTTTTTATATTTGCCTAACCTGGATTTCCTATAGCATATGTATTGTGATTGCCCTGTTGGTTCAGCCTGTGACTGCATTGCAGATATTGTAAAAGAACAAAGTGAGAGGCTGATAAGAAGTAACGTCACTTCCAACGTCAGAGTGTTCATATTTTGGATTTTTTTTTTTTTTTTTTACTTATATTATAATAATCCACTTTATACGTTTCCACGTCATGTCGTATATAACCCCAATCAGACGTACGTTACAGGCGGCAGTAAGTCGTAAAGCGGTGGGATTTGCGGGATCTCCGTGGGACGGCAGAGTGTACTGACGTGCTGTGTGTCCTTGTTAAAGTGCTTCTCCGTGCTTTTTATGTGACCGCCGGCACCGTGAACCGTGGCCCTGGGATTTATAACACCTCATTACCGAGCCATCATAAAACCCTCATGTTTATAAATGTTAATGCACATGATTTATATTTAAATGTCATCTTATGTCGCAGTTGAAAGGTGTGTTAATGAGGGTGAGTGGGGAGTGGGGGGGGGGGGGGGGGGGGAGGGAGGGAGGAGTGACAGACTGACAGCCACACAGAGGCTTCAGAGGAGGGGGAACGCAGAGGAGAGGGAATAAAAAAAAAAAAAGAATAAAACTTTCCCGTCATGACGTTTGCTCAATCATGCTCAATCTAAAATAAACAGCTCCCAGTTTAAATTAGACTAAACTACATTTAGGATAATTAGAAAAAAAAAAACAAATGTAGAAAATAGGGAGGTACTTCTTAATTTAGTACAAAAAGACTATTATTTACAAGAACAAAACATTCAGACCCTTCCACTGCCAACTTTGAGGGGTCGAGGGTCGACAGTGTTCTCCTTTCTACGTCCCCGGCCTCTGAAGCCTCTGCCTCTGAGGAAGCGGCCGGTAACACCAAACGTTTCCATGTTCAACTTCTTCTCTTCTGCCCATGTGGTTCTCCTGAGGGAACAGTGATACATTTAGACAACAAAAAGAATTGCACAGAGAATCAAACACAAGTGAACCTGTTCACCTGGGTTTAAGGTCCGATGAGATGTTATCAAAGAAGCATTTGGCTTTGTCATAGTATTTGTCACCAGGAGTCTCCACCTCTTCCATATCTTGACTTTCTGGAGTTTTGGCTGACTCTACTTTTTCAGCTGTAATAACACACCAAGAGAAAGTGTACATGGTCATTTACCATGACCAATGCAGGCAGAGCACTTAGTGAACTAAAAGATTCATACCTGTGACTTCTTTTTCTTTTGTAAGGTCATCTTTAAACTGAGCATTCGCTGTTTCAAAGTCAAAATCAGAGTCAAACTGCAAAGTCGTAGCCTTTGAGTTTTTGACAATGAGCTGACCTCTGCTGCGGTTCCTGGGTCTGCGACTACCTGCGTACAGCCATGAAGACAGACAGACAAATTTCCCCTTAATTCTAAAATTGGTTTCGCAATAACATTGGAAAAAAAATTGAAATTATGAAAACACCTTGTTTATCTTCTTTTTGCCTTTTTTTCTGGCTACAGAGTCGTACGCAGCGGCATCTCCTCTCGTCAGGAGTCGACACACTCTCACGTCGAAGCTAAATCGCCGCCTAAAAGTTCGCCTCGGACTTTTCAACTTTTGTGCTTCCTTTCATTACGCGTACGGAGACAGAATGAGGCAGAAATATAATCTTCAAAGCAAACTGAACTCAGCACGCTCACACTCCTCTCCAGATCTGGATCTCCAGATCTCTGCCAAGCGATTGGATATCATCACGTTAGATCCCGGAGCAGTTCTTATCCACTTACACGGGGTTGAATTAAATGTACTTCCCTCCGCATTAACGCAAACCTGGTTTTTATGACAAGCTCCGTGGTATTTTCCATGAGTCTGCTGAAAATGTGGGTCTGATGCACGTGATAATCAGAAAAAAAAACCCAGTGGAAACATATCTATGGATAAAAAGTTGATTACCTCAGAGCAGAGCAAGTAATGTGTTCCAGAGCCCCCGCTGATGGATGTTATTTCACATGTTCAACACTAGGGTTACCAGAATGTCATTTTTGTCAATTATGGCTTTGCTCATAAAAACTTGCACTCTGGACTTCGGCCTTTTGAAAATAGCCAAACTAAAGAAGAGACGTGAAATGGGTGAGAAAAAAAAAAAATTCTTTATTCCTTTAATGAGTGAATTTCTCTCATTTCTCGCTCAATTGGGTTTTTTTGTTGACAATGAAATATAAAGGCTTTATAAAGTGACCTCAGATGAGTTGAATAACATATCTCTGCCGCGCGTTTTCAAGTCCAAGGTTTTTAAACCTGAATTGTATTGCTTATATAAGAGCATTAGGAAGCTTTCAGTTACGGAAAAAAAAAAAAAAAGGTGATTATTTTTCCTACTTTCGAGAACTGTGATTCACCAACAAATTCTGCGATTAAAAAGGACTTTTATATGATAATGGAATGCTTTAGTTTCTATTTGCTGAGAGTCCGACTCTGTGCAATCTTTTTTTTTTTTTTTAACTCCTGAAAAGTGAAAAAGTGCCAGTTTGAACATGAGCTCTAGGGGGAACTCTCTGTGTGTCGTCACGCCTTCTTACGACCATCAGAGTTTCAGCTGGGATCTCGGGGGCAAACTCATGACGGTAGGACGGCTCTCCGCTGTTTTCAATCAAACAACACTTGGCATATTCATGCCTACCTACGGTGAACACGGATTCAGAGATATTCAACCTGGAAGCTGCTTGAAATCATAATAACATGGCAACTTATGTCGCCGATGCCAGCTCAGGACAGGCCTTCGCTTGTTGTTAGACGACCAAATCGGTTGCACGTGTTGGCCGCAGCGGTTAATAATATATTAGTTCAGCATCTTGATAAGATTATACGAAACAGATGCGTTCCGATCTGATAGCTCTTCTGGTAAGTGCCTTAATTTGTTGAACAATAAAAACAAAAAGGGCTTGTGACAGGAGAGAATCCGCGGTCGCTCTGCTCGGAGACACGAAATAGAGATTCACATAAAAGTCTCGGTTTTCCCCCCTCGGAGGTGTCGATTAAATGAGTGGTTTAAGGTGATATATCAAGCCGACTGTTTTCTCCAGGCACTCGGTATCACAGATGTCTTTAATCAGTCTTTATATACACGGAGACAAGTCTTCATTGTGCTGCGTCGGCATCGAAAAGGGACAAGTGAAGAGCAACCGCGAGGAACATGAAGAGGTTATGAAGAAACATGACGATAGCTCTAAAAGACAACCTCCGAGAGGGTCCGTGTTTGTGCAACCGCCGCCGCTGTCAATCACCGGCCTCGCTGGGCTTCTTTCTCCTATTGTGGAACTAATAAAATAAACGTGTCTGGGAGTGAAGACAGCACTGACTCCTTCATCTGGTCAATGTCGTCAATGCTTTTATGTGTGTGTGTGGGCAGAGTGCTGGAATATTTTAACAAACCGGACATTCAGCCCAATCCACTAAAGCATGATTCAGCTTTGCTGGAGAGTTTTTTTTTTTTTTTTTACTACCAGTCTACTGATTGCCGTTCATTTCCATTCATCTCCAGATGGACAGCGCAGGCCAGTTACATTTGCATAGAAATATCAACGAGTCTGTGTTCACCCTTTTCACTGACAAAAATGGTAAAAATAAAAAGAAAAGTGCATCAATCAGAGCTCAGCTCGAGGACGAGGAGAGTGAAAGGAAAATATCAAGGCGTAGCCGGGCAAGATGTAAGAGAGAGAGAGAGAACGACCTGCTGTAGCAACGTGACAAAAGAGGCGAGCGCACGTGCACAAACGTATTAACGCCGTCAATTTTCATTGGTTTCATTAACCCTTTAGTCGCAGCTCAAGCGAGGATCGTTCACTCCTGTCCGACCGATCAAAGAACCGACCGTCACAGACATGAAGGAGTCACTCTCTCAGTTGACGTGTCAGTCAGGTACAATCACGAGCAGTGACACGAAAACGCATTATCAGTGCCTGTCGTAGTCACAGATGTTACGTTAAAGAGATGAAAAAAAAAAATATATATATGAAAGCCAACAGGAATTATTGAGTCTTTCTAGATGAAAAAAATATATATATATAAAAGCCAACAGGAATTATTGAGTCTTTCAAATTGTAATACATTTGAACCATTAAATCACAGATCACAGCTACGGATTGTCCTACATCAGGGGTGTCAAACTCACCATCATCAGCAACACAGTTCCCCTCGAAGGGTTCCCAACCCCTGGTCTGAGGACCGGTACCAGTCCATAGGTCATTTGGTACTGAGCTGCAGTGGCACACAGTGAAAAAAAAAATGTACTTCATTTTTTACCAATTTACTTCATTCAAAGAGAATCAAGTCATATCCATTTACTTTCCTTATGTAAAGATAATCTGGCGATAGTTTAAAATGATAGGTCATTCAGACTGATACTAACAGAATAGAGTCTAAAAGATGTTTTATTTTGAAAATGTAATGATCCTTCAATGTTCAGTACTTGGTACCGATCTGTAGTAACAGGTGGTACTGGCTGCTAATACTGTACTATAGCTCGAATTACTCATAACATAACAGATTAATACATTTTTCTACAATTGATTATCATTTGTTCAAGATACAAATATTGTTCAATTCTGTGTAATTCCTTAGGTTAAGAAACTCTGCTGCATGGACTTTACTAAATGCTTTTTAAGCTCCCGCGGGCCACACAAAATGGCGTGGCGGGCCACATTTGGCCCCCGGGCCTTGAGTTTGACACATCTTGGCTCAATAGTGATCACCATTTTGAAATTCGACAAAAAAAATGTAATGTTGTGTTTAGGGAAACTAAAGCAGTTAGAACCCAGTAACATTATTTAACAGCGCTGCAAGGAAGTTTATTTCCCCAAGTCCAGAACGAGAATAAATCCGACTCACTCGCATATCAGGACACTCGGAGGAATAATATCAAACAGGAAGTCCAGGAACTCCAGGAACAAGTCTGAACCAGAACACAAAGACCAAAACCATGAACAATGAATCTGAGAAGACAGAGCGAGGGAGACAGGTTTATATAACCAGGATACCAGGTGAGACCGATTAGCAGGGACACAGGTGAGGGTGATTACACTAATCAACCCAAATAAACCGACGCACTCTATGTTCCGGACGGTTGTCGTTCAGAGATTTAAGCACAGACTGTGTAAAGCAGTACGATGAGGATAAAGATAAGGAGTTTTGGAGCATTGAAAACATAAAAAAACAAAAACCCATACTGGAATGGATCTGTTTTGAGTTAGTCACCCATTTTCTTTGGATCCATCCCCACCACTAGTTCCTTTCACATTCCACACGCTATTTGATCCATTTGTCAATAAAAAATAACAGTAAAGAACAGCGTCAGGTTACTTTAATATTTGGCCGCGTTGGTTGCCATTTGGATGAACCCTTCCTGTCTTTCACTCCCGGTTATTTTGTAAAGTGTCTCGCTCCGCTCGGTTGGCTGTTCGGATCCAGACGCGGTTCCCCACGGCGACTGCATCCCAACACTTTCTGTACGTGCTGCGTTTTGCAGCTGCTTGTCACGTTAAATGGAAAGGTGCATAAAAAAAACCCCACAAAACAAAAACCAGAACTGTGTGTGTGAGACATTACCTCAGAGAGTGAGTCGCTTTGAGTAAGTGTTTCATAATGTAAATGCTGTCAGTTTGAGAGAGAGTGTGTGTGTGTGTTCTGGAGTGTGTGTAACAGTATCTCGAAAACCCCCCCCGTTGTTGCTTTTACACAGATGTGTCCTGTCCTCCTGCTGACTCACTGACCCCCGCTCGCGGTGAGCACGGCGCCGCGTTCCCGTTTAGTCGCCGGCCCTGTGTTCGATATCGTGGTTGAAGCGGGCGGCACGTGTAGCTCGAGCTAGCGGGACAGCTAAAGAGACGGAACGCTGCGGTGTCCTCGCGTCTCAAAAGACAACCACCTACATCGCATGCGTCAAACTCAGGCCCGGGGACCAACTTCTGGCCCGCAGTTTAATTATATTTATAATGTAATATTTATAATGTACGCTATGTATGTGCTTTGCTATAGCATCACTTTGATGTGACAGCTTTGTCAGCTAACATATCTTGGTTTGACAAGGGGAAACAGATTTGACACAAACACATGGCAGTTGCACAATCGGATCATTTTGGAAAACAGTCTTTTGTAGAAGTGAAAAGTCGGGACTCAAATATAAGTCTGGGCTTCTTTAACGGCTTGATGGCGCTGACACCGGCTAACAAAGAGCTGAATAATTTCACGTGTCAACACGTCTTTTCTTTTTGTCGGGCACTCAGGGTTCTTTCCCCAATTTAAATAAAAGAATAAGACCGATCTATACCACATGACATACGGTTTGCAAACTCCTCACCAGTTAGTGGGTCCGTCGTCATAGCAACCGCGACCCCCCCCCCAGACGGCAATCTGCTGCAGGGCAGAAGAAGAAAAACCAATTGAGCAAACAATCCGCCACGAGCTGAATAACCAAGAGCGAGACAGCAAGTCAAATGAGGCTAAAATGAAAGAGGAGCCATCACAGGTACATAACCTTTTAATG